CAGTGCAGCCACAGGGGGGGCCTGTGCACTCCTGGGGGTCCCTCTGGCACTGGTGGAAAGCCACCACTGGTCACCCATCACACACCTCCCAGTCCCTGTCGGGGATCCCCAACTGAGGATCACCCCGGGGGCGCAGCAAGCACCACACCACCATCAGGACACAACCAGTGTTGGGAAAAATCAGGATAAACACCGTGCACAGGAATGGGGGTGAGCAAAGAGACTTACCTGTGTGTGGGGCAAGGCGGGGTGATGGGGCACAGGGGTCAGTCCAGCAGTGCCCTGTGAGCAGCTGCCCAGTCTGGCACAGCCCGTCCCAGTCCAGTGGGAAGGGGCAGGTGACTCTGAAAGAACCAGGCACCAGCACACACGCAAAGGACGGTTTTTATTGGGGTCTGGTCGAAGGAGAGCAGTTGTACTGACCAACACACAGAAGCAGCTTAGCTGTGCCAAAATAATCCGTTAAAAAAATACTGCGGAAAGAACCGAGTGTGGCACATCCGCCACGACGGGCGAGGGCTGTAAACTCCGAGGACAGTCCGTGAGGAGCCCGAGGGACGTGCCACAGGCTCACCCGGCACGAGGACCCTCCTCCCCACAATAAATATGGAAAGAGCCAAGTACATAAAACAAGGAATGATCTCATCGATACAATATCTAAAGTTATTTACAGATCCTGGCTTTGCTTACCATTAATTACACATTTCGGACAGGTTCTCTTTCGATCATTTCCCTCATCACGAGTAGCTGTTCGTGTGAATCTGCTCCTTTTTGTTTTGAAGGACCGAATGAGGCACTGAAAGTGCTCACAAATCCCCTCTCCAAGGATGCTCCCACTTTATTCTGTTTTTCAGGCTCGTTTTTATGTGCCATCTCACTCTCTGCTCTCTCCCTTTCTCTGAGGAAAAAATCCCTGTTACAGCCAGGAAAGTCTCTTCCCAGCCTGTACCTCACCCCAGTCCATCTTGTTTTCCAGTCTGGGAACACACTGTTAAACAAACCCGGACAAACCTGACTCTGAACAACCACCTTCCTGAACCTGTCTCCCAGTTTTCTATCAAAGCCCTGACTGGGCACACTTCAGGCCATCAACACCAGGCTCAGTGCTGTCCCCACCGTGTCTACTTTCGAGGGATGACACTAAGGAGCCACGACGCCACTAGCATAGTCTTACCCGTCATGGGGCTTTACCTCCCTTCAGGAGCAGCTCAAGCTCACCCCCAAATCCAGTGGGATCAGGCAGGAATGACAGGGTGAAATGGGAAAGAAGGCAGGGACTGCTCTAGGGTGAGGGAGGGATCCCTCCCCACTCCAAGAGCACAGAATGGATCTCTCCCTGGCTTCAGGCAGCCCCTCAGCAAGGAGAGGGCTTCAGCAGCAGAAAAACGCCAGATTTCACCCCAGAGATGTCATGGGTATCAGCTCTGACCACCACAGACCTTCAGCTCCACCACAGCGGCAATTAAGAGCATGTGCTGTAATACCCTGAGTATTCCTCAAACTGCAGAGGCCACGCTCACAACCGGAATCGTTTTTAGGAAATGGATGATCTGCTGAATTTGGGGCTATTTCTGTACCTCACCTGGGAAGGAGGTGCTGAGGTTGGCTCTCTACAGATGTGCCCAGTGGCAGCAACTCTCACAGTGACACCAACTCTCGCAGTGACACCAGGATGGTACCCACACTGAAGGGGTCCAGCATCGGGGTCACCCGAGGGCTGGTCCCTGTGGGATCTCGGAGTGCCCACTCCCTTCCTGGGATGTGACACGGAACAGGGTCCTGCCCTGGCCCCGGCTCCCTGACAGACACCGCTGCTGCCTCATCAGGCTCTGGCCTGTTTTTAAGGATCAAGTGATCACTCTTAAAACACCAAATCCATCTCCATGACATACATTTTGGTGACTGTGGCTGCCTGCAACCCATCCCTGCCCTATGCCTCAACTGGCCCCCACACCAAGTTCTCCAGCTCCAGCACCACTCTGGGCTCTCCTCCACTCACTCCTTACCCTCAGAATTAGAGCTGTGCACGTCCCTGAGCTGATGGTTGAGCTGTATCAAACATCAAACTGACTCCTTGCCCCAATTTAGGTCACTGATTCTCATTAACCCAGCACAGACTCCTGTGAATAAACACTTGCTCTTGGAAGGCTGAGAGATAAAAGGGAAATTTAGAAATATCACACCAAGGGGTCGATCTGCAGGAGCTTTCCAGGTGCTTCTGCATTCATGAGCCACCTCGAGATAGCCCCAACAGAGTCCAGAGTCCCTGTGCTGGGGGACAAGGGTGAGCTGCACGTCCTCAGGGAGACTATTCCCACTTTAGAATGAAAAACAGAATAAAGTTGGCTGATCCTGCTTGAAAGGAATTGCCACTTCCATACACATACGGAGCAGAAATTCTGTGGAATGTCAGAAGTTGGAGAAACATGTATTTAATAAATAATATAAAATGCTTTTTCTGTTAAAATAGAATTCTCGGGTTTATACCTACAGAGCATAGCAACCTTTACATAAACAAAATAAAGCTGAGTCTGTGGTGATTAGTTTAACACAAAATAAAAATACAATTTAACAATAGTATTAAAACAGCCAATGTTCCATCCACACAATATGTACACCATGGAATAGAAATCAACAGGAAACAAAAGTAGATTATCTTGAAACTCCTCAGACATTTGGATATACATCTTTTCTCTGTATATTTTAGATATTTTCCTTTTTGTACAATATTAAAATTAATACTATGCTTTGTCAAAATACGCTTTTCAGGTTTTTTTTTTCTTTAATTCATAGAACTGACTCATTCCTTATATTAATCAACACAACTAGAATTATTTACTGTCTACTGTACACTTCAAATAGTCCTTCCTCCAGGGATATTCTGGGTGTGAACACCTCAGAGCTGAAGGAACCATGTCACTGCCACATGCTGAGAGGGGCACGGAGACACCCGTGTGCCAACGGTTGTGGGATGTGGATATGGACGAGGAATTAAATAACCTGGTCCTAAAGCTGATCAGCTGCCAGGGGAAGAGCAACTCAGAGCTCCAGGGATGTCAATCCTTATGAGTGATTTACTGTAAACCCAAGGAATGTCAATGCCGAGTCACCACAGTGCCGGGGCTTGGTCCTGCTCAGGGGGCAACATCAACCCCTGAGCAGCTCTCCTGGGCACAACAGTGTCCACTTGGACAGGACCACAACCAAAACAGGTCTGTTTTAGCACAAAAACTCAGTGTTTCCATCACCTACACACTGCGCTGCAAACACCTGATTTATATCAAAACCAAACCGAACCTCATAATCCAATTTCCATTTTTCCCCCTTGATAGAAGTGGGAGAAGAAAAACTTCCATTGAGTTTTTAAAGGGGAGGCGCTGAATCACAGAATCATGGAATATCCTGAGTTGGAAGGGACTCACAAGGATCACTGAAGTCCAACTCCTGGCCCTGCTCAGGATAACCCCAAGAATTTGAGGAAAATTTGAATGTGACTACGCGGAGGTCTATCCCTGGAGCTGCTCTCCCTACCTGCCAGGCTTCCCAGCCATACTTTCAGCTATTTTTAGCCTGCTCCAAGTTTTTCTGAAGCCTAATGGGGGGCGGGAGAACATACCAGGAATGTCAATCGAAGCTGGATCCACTCCAGCATTACTCCAGCTTATCTCACAGCAACGGTTTGGGAAGAACCTGTGAAGGCCACAGGCTGTGCTGGACCAGGGACAAGAACAAGACATAAAGCTCAACACAACTAACAGGAAGAAGCTTTTACACTTGGGGAAGTGGACAGCCAACACTTGGCTGAAGGATTGAAAAAAATTCACAGATGTTCCATTAACAGGTTAATGAATTTGCAAAACAGTTACCAAATAAGGCTGAGGAATATGAATTTATACCTGCAATGACGAGACACCTGATCTGACCGGGCGTCCAAGGGAGCACCTGACTCAGTCAGGAGACACCAGCCAAGCTCATCCCTGCTCCAAGCAGTTCCTCACTCTGCCTGCAGCAGGAATAACTGTGGCTTTGCTTCTCCTGCACTTAAATTTCTACTCATAGAAGCCTGACTTTGGCCAGAATTCACTGTATTCCTATTCCTCAAGAGAGACTTTAATTTACAGCAACTCCCACATATCAAAAAAGCACAGGGAGCAGGGGTGCAGCTCCTCAAAATGCCCCAGGACCCCCAGCCCAGCTCCCTCCCATCCCATTACTCCTGCTGGCTTTCCAGGATCTGGTCCTACTGAATTTGCCAGCTACAAGGAATAATCACAATATAATCCCTGCAGCCCTGGAAACACGTGAATGTGTCAGGGGGTGTTTAACGTGGCCCTATCCAGGTGTAATTCTCCATTTTGGAATATCAGAAACAACTCCCACACACGCTTAAATCTTCAGTCCAGCTGATGCTTTTTTGAAGGACTTTCAGATAATTTGTTTAAAAGTCTGTTTAATCATTCACTCAGCTGAGTGAATGCTGTGGATGCCTGAAGCTCTAATTTCTTTACTTCCCTGAACATTAACAAAAATACAACTCCTACAAATATCTACAAATATGGTCAAAATGCACAAAAGACAAGGCCGTGCCTGACGTGCCTTTCCACGTTCAAATCAGTTGACTAAAGAAAACCAAATCCGTTACTGCCCCACTCTCACCAGAGATGAAGAGCTGACTGAGGGTGGACCGGGACAAGGCAGTAAGGGCCATGATAACAAGCATAGTCTGGGGCCATCCCAACTCCAAAATACAAGTAATTTCCTAAGTCAATACACAAGCTTCATTTCATACAAAATCTCCGGTTTTGAGGCATGATTTCCCAATTGCTGCCCTGTCCCTCCCCTCCTCACCAACACCAGCACCCGGAATCTACTGAGCAGAGACTGCCAACAAGGAGTGAGAGTAAAAACCAGCCATGGAAAATAACTGAAGGAGAAGAATGGAACTGACCGTGGACTAAAAAAGTACAAACAAGTTACACAAGAACCGTGAGCAGCTTTGAACACAATCTGAGGGAGTTTTCTAAATCATGAAGAAGAATAAGAGCACTGCATGATATTGTAGGGAGAGCTGAACAACACCCAGTGGCATGAGACATTTCCTATCCCAAACATTTTGAAATACCACACATAGAATCATGGAATCATTCAGATTGGAAAAGAACTCCAAGATCTTTGAGTCCAACCTTTGACCGACTACCTTTGACACTGCTCCTTACAGAGGAGCTCAGATGCTCAATGACACTTATCAGCAGGAATGACAGGGAGGCTGGTACCCTTTACATGGAATAATTTCGAAAATAAATAGGGAAAAAAATCACTGAAAGTAATTGCTGACTCACAGAGGGTATTTCCCAGAATGTTTTTCCTTTGATGAAGCCCCTGATGTTCAGATAGAGTTTGCATGGGCTCTGCAGACAACCCAGCCCCACTTCTAGAAGCCAATACAGCCAACTTTATTACCTTTCTACACGGAAAGAGGTCTGGAACTCTGTGGTTGTCTGACAGCAACACGCACACCGGGGGGATGGGGGAAGCTGACAGGGCAATTTCTGCTCTCATTTACCATACACAATTCCCATTGTCTTTAGGGACTTCTGAGAGTTGTACCTATGGATCTGGGAAGAAAATCTTCTCAAAGGTGTTCGCTGAATCAGAAAAAAAGCTTAAATTCAGCCCTGACCTCTCTCTTACAAGCCATCACAACACCCAGGGCAAGGTTGACTTGACAAGTTTGAAGCTGTCGGACAGTTCAGGATTAGATCTTGACTTCAGCACGAGTTCAGCACGACACGACTGATGCCTCAAGTAGAATTAACAAAAAACGGGCATTTGATCAGCTCCCTGTCAGTACCACACTCAGTTTTCTCAGACTGTTTACAATGTGGACAGTTTGAACTCTTTACAAGAGAAAAATCAAAGATCCTTTCACAAGCTGAGCTGTGTGATATGTGCACGAACCTCCTGGGCCGAGCTACAGAGAGAACTGGGATATCTATGCTATGAGAACACACCTGTGTACAACAGAGAAGGATCCACGAGTCCCAGAACTGGAGTGATCCGGAATACGTACCGAGGTACCCAGACATTTGAACCCAGCACATGCACTAGAATGCATTGGATTTGAATAATTTCTTTTTAATTTTTAAAAAGTGCAGTTGACCTGAAATGGAAAAGAACTGTCTTTATGTTCACTGTAAACTTGTCAAAAGGAATCTGCTCTTTAAAAACTGTGCTAAAATAGTCAATTTATACAACAGAGCACTAGATGAAGCTACCATAAATTCCTCTTCACCAATTATTACTCTATTGTGTCAGTTATAGTACTGCATATACGTAGAAGAAGCAAAACGGTGGTAGCTACTATTAGTGAGTACAACAAACCAAGGGAATAATTCGAGTTCAACGCTCCCATGAAGTAGCAATAACATTTAAACCACAGGACAGTTAGAATTCAGTACTTTGAAGTGCATAAGAGTCACACTGTTGATCATCAGCAGTATGGAGAAAGGTTATTACAGAGTCAGCAGTAATGGTTGGAAAGGACATGGCAACACGACAGAGTGAGGGTCATCCAACAGGGCGGCAGCTCCGGGTCCGTCGGCGTCACCATGGAGTGTCACCCCAGCCAGCAGCACCCGCGCCAGCCCCAGGCCTGGTGCCACCAAACGAGGGGATCGCAGGGAAAACAGCCTCTTCCTTCCATCAGTAGTTCCAGAGTAACGGAGCACATCCGGGCCCCCGCCGGGAGTGGGGACGCGTGGGAGCAAGGAGCAGCCTCTACGCTTGGTGACTTCCACCGCTGCAGGAGCAGGAATCCACCCGCCACCCTTCCAGTCTTCACAGCCTCCAGAGACAGAGTTCTGACATGATCCCACGCTGTAAACATCGAATTCCTCCTCTTCTAAGCACATCCCGCGTCCAGGATTGCACAAAGTCATTCATAAGGATTCTGGGACACTCTGCATGTTCACCAAGTAGCTCTCCCTACGTGAATGTGGTTCGTGTCTCCTACAGCCCGTTGCTGTTCCTGTGGCTGAGCGGTGGCTTCGAGAGCTCTACAACTGTGGAGCGAGATTTATTGAGAAACTTTGGAGCCCGGCGCAGCAACCTCTGGGCCTCAGTGAAAGCTTCCGTCAGCTCCTTTTTCCACTGAACAAATTCGGGGTCACTCTGAAACAGAGACACAGAAGCACTTCATTGTAACCAATGAAGTTTGGCACTTCATTGTAACCAGTCAACAGCATCTTCTGTCTTACACAGCACCTTAAGGAAGTTATTTTGATTTTCCGGAGGAACGAGCAGCTTTGGGTATTGCCCACGTGCTGCCCTTGGCTTCTCCATCACCCTGCCGAAGGCTGGACACAATGTTTGGAGGACTCCTGCACTTCCCCCTGGCAAACACGTGAGCTACAGCAACTCCCTGCAGTGACACATGAGCCAACAAGGCCCTCGGAGCCCACAGAGATTGAGCAGTTTTGAAGTTTTTAAGCTATTTAATAAACTGAACTCGTTTTGGCCCAAATACCACTGAAATCCATGACAGGAACTGGCACAGTTGCAGGTTTCCCGCTTTCAAAACTCGACTGTGATAAACACTTCAGCTCTGCTTCACAAAGGGCCTTAGTTAATATGTAACAGGAAGACCTGAAAACTTGTCAATCCTTTATCATATGCAAAACAATCTGATTAAGTTATCAAAAAACAAGTGTCTTACCTCACACTGTAGGACAAACTGTTTTCCTCCTTTAATTCTCAGTAAGATGCATTTCTTATCTTTAATTTGTGTTTCTTCAACAGATACTATTTGTTCCATTGTCAGCAGGTTTTGCTGCAGCATTTGCAAAAGAGCAGAGAATTAATTGAAAAAAAAAACCCTGTTACCCATCAAATAAAAGTCACTATCTCATTTTTCTAGACTCGACACATGAATTAAGTTATGAACATTAAGATTCATTACACAAACATTTACTTCTGAAGGCTGGGTCATGAACTAAAGATAGATTATAAGGTAAGAGACATTTACAAGGGGCCTGGTTGCTTCAACAGAGACAATGGAATATCAGCTCTGAAAGCCAGTAATGACAGCATGAAATAAGAATCTACAAATAGGTGTGTCTGCTAACAGAATATTCACTATTTTCCCTCCAGAGTTGCATATAATTTGATACATTTTCCAAGTATTACTGCTGTTAAAAATAAAAGCCAATCTTACTATTTCTAAGAGCTGAAAGGGAATATTTCAGCACTAAATACTTCCAAAGTGAACATACAGCAATGTGCAGGAAAGATTTCCCTATAGACAGCAGAGGACACAATGTCTTAAATTCCAAACCCTCCCTTAACTAAATATACAAATTATCTGCCCTGCACATGAGCACAGCTGGGCTACACTACAGTCACTATAGCATTTTCTTGGAAACAAAATGCTATAGCATTGTCACCTTACCAGTTTGTGTTTTTTTGTATAAATAGTCCAGAGGTCCTAAATGAAAAACAATACCATCAACTACCAAATTCCTTCAAAAGCATAACAAAACAGAGTAAACAGGTTTCTCAAGTCAACTTTGTCTCCTCCGTGCAGTGTAGCTACCAATTAACTACAACGATGCTGGAGATAAGTTACTCAAATCCACAGGGCATTTACTGGGATAAACCATTACCACAGGAGGAACACCTGGGCATAAGTCCTCAGATGTTCCTCCACCTCCACCTGCATTCCAGTGCTGCTCCCAGTGTAGCCTCACTTACCCGGGACTCTCCTTCTCCTCGCCACTCAAGCCGGTTTGGGAAGAGGTAAAAGTAACGACGCTGCCACTGAGTCAGGAAGGGGTTCCCCAATTTCAGCATGTATCCATGCATTATACAGTCCTTCCCCAGGGCATAATCTAAAACAAGAGGGAATTATCAGCAAAGTAAACCAAGGTGCAACCTAAAAGCATTCTGCAGGGAGCTTTGTGGAAAAGGGACGGAATCCTGGGCACGAGGGACTCAATGTGCCCTCAGCAGGTTGAAATCCTGCTTGTGTGTGCACACACAGCCCCAGTTCTGCCTTAATGATATGGGCTGATGCACCTCCAGTGAAGTAATCAAGAACACAGTTCTTAAAAAAGTATCTCAACAAAGTATGTTGTTAAAAGAACTGGATACTGCTCTCCGAAGTCTGGGGGTTTGATGCAACCTGCAGACTGCAGTTTGCTGTACGGGACCTCCAGGGGCCCTTCTCAGCTCCTGATCATGAAATCAAACCCCACACACTGTGAGGGTGGTGAGGCCCTGGCACAGGTTGCCCACAGAAGCTGTGGCTGCCCCATCCCTGGAAGTGTCCAAGGCCAGGCTGGACAGGGCTTGGAAGCAACCTTGTCTAGTGGAAGGTGTCCCTGCCCATGGCAGGGGGTGGAACGAGATGATCTTTAAGGTCCCTTCCAACCCAGACCATTCCATGATCTATGATTCTATGATACTCTTTCCAAAGCGTGATGTCATCAGTCAGCATTTCAAAACATTAAGAAACATCTTAAGCAACACGACAGTGACTAAACAAATTCTAACAATTCCCGGTGAATGACAGTCACGGGAGTGTGTGGTGTGGTGTGGAACTCCAAGCACAGGAACTACTATCTAGGAGCAAAAGATGAGAGAAGCGTAAGGACAGATTACCTTCCTCGTGGCCAAGCTGCTTATTTTTAGCCCTTTTTCTGGCCTCAATTTTATCTGTGTCTGCATTTACTGCATCATAAACAGTTTCTGCTACTTCTTGCTGCCAACGCTCCGATATTACCAGAGGGAAGTTCTTATATAACTCCTGGTCACTATCAAGCAACTTGCAAGAGAAAAACAACATAAAAACCCAACATTTTAGTAACTTTCACTATTCTTATCCCCAACAGTTAATAGTTACCCATACAACAAAATTATTCAAAAAGCGGTATTGAGCTCAGACCTTCACAAAACAAACAGATGCAAGCAAGAGAAGCACAGACACTAATTTAAGCAAAGATATTAATTTATGTGCAGAGAACAGGCCACCTGCTAAAAACTTGTTTGGTTTGATAGCTCTCGCTAGCTCCTCACTCAACATTGTCCCATAATGTTCTCTAGACTTCACATTTAAATAATTACTCAAATATAAGCAGCAGTATTCTGAACTTCATTGCATAAAAGTTTCCTCAGCACAAAAATTCCATGAATAAATGAAAAGATACCTTTTCCACAGCAAGGCTTTCCATGCTTTAACAGCTGGGTTTAACATTCTTAATAATTATTCTACAAAATGCAGCAGCATGTGCTGCAGACCTCAATTTTCTTGTTTTAAGGATTCTTTTCTCTTCTACCTTTGAATCCTTAAACTGAATTGCAACAAAGGAATTAGGAAAAATTCTTCACCAAAAGGGTTGTCCAGCACTAGAACAGGGCAGTGGTGGAGTCCCCATCCCTGGAAGGGTTTAAAGCCACATGGATGCAGTGATGCTGCAGCCGTTGCAGGAGCAGGATAGGAAAAACTGGCTTAATTCTCCTTCTACAGCCAGGCCAGGCACTCCTGGAGTACATATTCTTCTGCTTTCAGAGATCCATAGCTGTATCACAGCAGGAAAATACACACAGAAGACTTCTCTGCAGTTCCAGGGACCTCCTACAGCACCCAAGTAAGGAGGAAAAGCCACAGGCACGCACTGTTGGCTCTCCAGCTGGTAATCCCAAAGCTCACATGTTCTTCTTGGGGTCACAGGACACTCTTCAGGGTAAATATAATCTCCAAGGGCCACAGAGCACAGCAAGGTGTTCAAAATTGGTGTCCTCAGGGGCAGAGGGGGTTCCTGACACCTCACTGGCAGCTCTGGCTCCACTGACTCAGAGGCAGGAATTACCAGTTCCCCTCTAAAGGTCTGTGACACCATAGGGAGGCTGGACCTGATATCCCTCACTGACTCATCCCTAAGAGCAAAATTATCCTATAGGCAGACTGAACTATTAGATCCTGAGATTAAACTGGAAGTGCCATGGCAGTGAACTGAATATATGATTCACATCCAGTAATATGAATCAATAAACAGAAAGACCAACCGGTTCCTCCTGGCAAAATGTTCCTCTGAATTCTGGCATTCCAGAATTGCAGAAGACTGGAATCCTGCTAAACTAACACCGAAGATGTGGAGTTTTCTGGGATAAAGAACCTCCTGGGCTCTCTGCACTTCTCTTTAAGCACGTAAAATCTTTTCAGTGCCAACTTCTGTCACCACAGCAGGTGACACTGACAGACAAGCTCCTTTTTAGACTCAGTGAGTACTCAGTGTGGCTTTTTGCTTATAAAGTTTAGAGCAATTAGTTTCTCTCCTGACTCACTTCTGTAATAACTGCAGAAATGTGTGATAAAAAGAATGAAGAAGACAGACCCAAGACAAGCACTGACTCATTTGCTGTCCCAAAGTCCCAGAGAAGCTCCAGAGAAGAAAGATATTCACAGGGGGATCACACCTGAGTCCTAAAGGGGCCAGCACTTTCAACTCCTTTTTTTTTTTTAATTTATATTTTTTCATTAGATTTTTGAAAATACCGGAACCTGGAAGTTTCTTTTCCCTTTTCTAATTTAAAACATTGCTAACATCAATAGTTTGTCGTTTTTAAGAGTTTTCCACTGCACTCTCTGACCACTAAACTAGTAAAATAAGGTTTAGTTCCATTTATCCAAACTATCAGAAACAAATTGCAATTTTTAAACCTATAAACCATCAGGTGTTCTTGAAAACACGAGGCTTTCCCAATTGTCTTCTGACCATTTGAAATATCTGGTTTGCCATAAAAAAATGCCCAGAGCTCACAGAGCATTTGGACAATGCTCTCAGGGACATGGGATTGTTGGGTGTCCTGTGCAGGACTAGGACTTGGATTTTGATGATCCTTGTGGGTCCCTTCCCACTCAGGGTATTCCATGATCCTACAACACCTCTGATAGGAAGGTAGATTTCAGTCAGTCTAAAAACATAAGGACTTGGCAAACAACAACCCAGGGAACCAGCCCAAGGTATCTCTTTGGTACCAGCATGGACTGAGTTTCCCAACCTGAAGGAATTCCTTGCACATCCAGCGGCCCCGAAGCAAAGGAATGCCATGCACACATGGAAAGTCAAGCACAGCAGTCCCAGTGCCACCCTCCACCTCTCCCTGGAAGTTGAGTACCTTAATGCCTTTAGTGTCCTCTTCATCAAACGACCCGATATCGAAAGCGTCTGCTGCATTCACTTCTCCCCGGGGAGGAATCAGTGGTGGAGGGTACTACAAATTAAAAGCAGCATAATGAAAGACAAACTAATGGGCATTATTTAACTCCCTTCTGTAAGTTGTATACAGCCTTTTTATTTTTTTGCACAAATGATACATGACCATTCAAGAGTGTGTCCCTTGAAATTAAACTTCAGTCCAAAGTTGTTGCCACTCTTTAATAAAAGCTCCTTCAAAAATCTGGGGAAAAAACTCTCCAATTTAGAGACAGTTAAGCTGAAGAAACCATGCAACCATTTGTCACTGAAAAAATAACAACTCACTAATGAGATATGTAGTGATGAATATTCAACAGCTTTCATCAACAACCCTCCACATATTTGTGCCAGTGAGCACATGTCCTAGGGATTGGGATTCTCAAGTTTTCTGTCCATTACCTGTTTGGACTTATTTTCCTTTTACTGTTAATCAAGGAAGCTAAAATTACTGCCTTCATCCTTTACCTTCTGTAAATAGACTTGCTGCCAATCAATGCCTTTGAAGAAAGGATGTTCTTTTACTTCTTGTGCGCTGCAAAATAAAAATGACTGAAGTCAACAAATGAAAGGGCTTTTCAAATGTATTCAAGAAATACAAAGCCTTCAAAGGTCACATTTCTATCACTTGAAAACATCAGGGAAATGCTCTTTTTCGCAAGATAAAAAATAAACATTCCTAAGTAAACAAAAGGAGAAAAGATTTTCAGGTGGAAACACTCAGAATAGTGCTGTAGGGCTGGCAGCGAAGCACTTCTGATAGCACCCCATCATTTCAAAGACCAAAGGATATTCCTCTGCTGTCAGATCTCAAACAATGATCTGCATTAGATCTCAAACACTGATCTGTGTCAGATCTCAAACACTGATCTGTGTCACACCCCAAACGCTGCTTGTATGTAACTAGATTACTCCACACCATTTCGCGTTACACAAATTTTATGGGAAAATGAACCACCACTCCTGTTAGGCCCCAGGGAAAAGCAGTCTCAAGTCATTATCAAAGAAGGCTCCATGACAAAATCTCTGAATCTCCCACTGGAACTGGAGCCAGCCCCAGGCTCAGGGCCATCAGTTACCTGTTATCACACATCCCCAAAGGTTTCTCAACAGTTGTTTACTTCTCTCCTTGTTCCCTCTCCCAGTCTCACACTGGCTTCTTAAACAGTTGATAACAACAATCTCATGAACTACAACAAGCTGAGCTTGGCAAAAGCAAGGAGTGTTTTGCAGTCAAGAAACCAAAAGAAAAAAGCCTTTCCCTTAGGACCATGAGATGACACAGGTAGTACCAGCAATATTCACAGCTTCTTTGGTTGGTGGCTTTGGGATTGTTTTTTTTTCTGTGTAATATGCTCCTATCATTACAGATAAAATATAAGCAATAAATTTTCCTATCAGTTTGTCTTAGTCAAGTCATATGATTTCATGCCAAAACAGATCAAGCAAAACCAGAAAAACAATCCAGGGATGAGAAGTAGGAACACCACCCAGTGTAAGTATGACTGCAAGGAACTCAGGGGAAGGCTTTAAGAACAGAAATTGTCCAAAAAATGTGTCCAAACCAAAGGAAGCTGAAATGTAATTCCATGCAGCAGCACTTTTTAATGTTCTCTTTCCAAAATTAAAATCCTCACAACAGGAAGCAGATTTTTACTTGAAATGAATTCACTCATTGACAGAGAAGTGGAAATTTTTCAAGGCACTGGTCCAAGGAGAAGACAACACCTACCTTCTTCCTTGGCATCCAAGCCTCTTGCTCACATCCCGCTGCAGGAGCCCTTCCAGAAGGGACTTCAGTTCGGGAGAAAATGAGTCTGGGAGCTCCACATTCTGTGAGGAAAGGAAGTACAAAGAGGTATTTCGTGACGGAAGCTGTGTGATCTGATTTCTCTTCTTGGAGAGTGTTTGTAAACAACCCTCCCATGTGCAAATACAGCTGTGTACAGGTCTGTAGTTACAGTTTTTAGTGGAAATGGGAGTTTATTAACATGGTGAATGTAACTGTGCCCAAGGCTTACCACGGTGAGCGTCATCCGGTCGATCTCATGCTTATCTTTGGTTTTGTGCTGCCTGAAAGGACTGTGCCTGTGGAAGCAAAAAAAAAAACAACAAAACAAAACAAAAAAACACTAATAAATGTCAAGCCACAATGTATCAGAGTATTTCAGCTGTGGCAAACCCAGGAAAGCGTGCAGCATCCTGTTAGCCCCATCCTTCCCCCTCATCAATCCTGCCCTGCAGAACAATCCGTCCAGTTACTCCACAGGAAGGTGAGAAGGAGGTTGGGTGATCCTCAAACACATTGATCTGTCCTTAAAGATGTGTTTCAAATGCCTCACCAAGTAAATCTGTCTTCCAAATATCTGAACACTTTCACTTGACAAGGAAACCCCAAGCAGCCATCACACAAAGGGGTTTAAAAATAAGTATTTATATATGGAAACTGAAATCATCACCCCCCTACGAGGGAGAATGAAGTAAAACCTTCAAGTAAGCAGATGACAAAGAGGGTAATCACAGATCCCACAGCATTAGCCACTGGGAAGATATTTGATGCTGTCTGGTAGATTATCAGCTTTATCCCTTTCCTGCTTTAAAATTCTGGTTTGAGTCTGACTTTTCCTTTAAGCCATAGAAGACCGTGAAACATTAGAGATTTACCACACAGTCCTTCATCAACAGCATGAAAGAAAGAAGCAGCACTGTAGTATGAGATTTTTTAATTAGATTTAGGAGGGGATGATATTTTTCAAAATCAAAATGTTATTCACTTATCAATTACATTAATTAGCTATTCTAAAGCCTTTTGTCTTGCACATGGCAGTGTGTACCAGCACGTTTCAACTGGAGATCTGCTACTCCAGAGTTATTTTCCTTTTACCCTCAAAAATGTTCTGATGAATGGATCCGACGGACAGACCAGGACTTACATTTTTCTGTTTTTAACCATGACAGGTAAGAATAAATGGCTCCCACACAGCCTCCTGTACTCTGACAGTAAGGCTCTGAGTAGATCAGGGAAGCAAATGATTCACTGGGGACTTATGGGCAGATTTTGTGCCAGACTAAATTTACCAAACACCAAGAAATGGCACCATGTGCCCAACCCTTGTTTTGGGATGTGTTTAATTGGCTTCAAACCAGATGAGGAACGATAGTTCACAGTGAATAATGCTCCAGCTTCTGGCCGACCACCAACACCACCCCACACATCTCTGTCAGGGAGAACCACGGCCCAAAAGACTGAGATCTTCCTGAGCCAGCCCCAGTGTCCGTGGGAAAGGGGATCATTTATCCCTGTACAGTGTGTTTGTCAGGACCACCAGGGAGGTGGTGGAGTCCCCACCACTGGAGGTGTCCAAGAAACAACTGGATGTGGCACTCAGTGCTGTGGGCTGGGTGACAAGGTGGGGATAGGTCACAGGTTGGACTTGATAATCTTGGAGGACTTTTCCAACCCTGTTCTGGAATTCTGTGTGTGACAGATGGTCTCCTCCCTCCTCCCAGCAAACCCAGCCCACCGTGTCCTGCTTCCTACAGAATTCTTCAATTAATATTCAACAGAGCACTGCTCCCAGCTACACTATCTGTACTTTGAAATAGATATTTCTGGCAATTTAAACACCATTTCTTTATTTGCACACTTACCAAGTCTATTTTGTGCACAATTAATGTTAAATTGATACAGTTCAATTCACAAGTCACACACTGACCTTCTTTTTTACAGTGTCTGCACAGGGATAAGAGCTTATAATTAATTTTAGTTAGTTATGTGTGAGGACACAGGATGATCTGATGACCAATCTCAACAGAGAAGCACTGCGAAAAGCTGAAAAGATTTCTTCTGGTTTGCCATTAACACTGAGGATGCCATTTCCAACAAGCACTTGCCCATCAGTGCTTGTTGACTGCTCAGATAAATCCTGTGGTATTAATCAATTCTACACACATAAGTTTAATGAGAAGGTAATTGCTGATAAAGCTGTAATTATCATGTACTTTTGGATACTGATAAGGTAACTGGACAGATTCAGCATATGGAAGGATTCAGACTTTGTACCTGACCCAAACTCTGCAGGAAGGAAAGCTGAGTATCCCATCAAAAGGGACCATTACAGCCAAGAGTTTCACCACAACAGCAGGTCTTAGGCATAAAATGAAGCCCATAATTTAACAGGGCTGCTCAGTGTACTTGAGCAGTGAGTAACATCACAGCATTTAAAATACTATCAGCTGCCAAGAGATGAGTAAACTGCTGTCAGTAACAGTCAAAGAGCATATAGAGCATCTGCCTTCCTCATGTTCCACACCTGTACCTGCTACAGGACACAGGGTTGGGTTTGGTTTGGAAGAGAAAACCCTGGTTTAGTCTCCTGTGTGGACGTGGTCTAAGCTGCAGAGTGCGAAGTCAGGTAAACATTTCAGACAATCTGTAACACATCATGTATTAGCATTTGAAGGGACAGACGATGAGGAGGCCCAGCCTCAAAGGGAAAAGAAGAAGAGCCTTCACTCACCCCCTCAGCAGTTTGAACAACATGCAGCCCAGGGAGAACCAGTCGGCACTGCTGTCGTACGCTGTGCCCTTCTGGAGCACCTCGGGGGCCATGTATCCATGGGTACCTCTGCAGAGGGGCAAAAGCTTCATTACAACCAACACTATCATTTAAAAAAAACCCTCCAACATTAAAAATCAGTGTTTTCTCAATAAGACAGCCTAATTTTAAAAGAATTCATTTTAAGCATGATTTTATTTTGCTTTCAGTGGGTTTCCTATGTCTCCCTTCACCCATCCTTGGGTGACCACAGGACCCCTCCTCCCAAACTCACCACTGAGCACCACTAGAAGAAGCCACCAGATATTGCTTTTACCCTTGACACAACCAAAACATAAGAACTTTTTTCAAGAAGCTACTGAATTGCAAATCTTTTGAGGTGTGACAGGCTGGAGCTTTCCTTTTTGCATAAATTATGAGACTAAATCAGGGCAAATGAGGACCTAAGAATAAAACACGCCAGGTAAGATGTGAATCTACACACAACCCCAGGAAGTCAGATCCCAGTTAAGACCTGCTGCCAAGAGGCAGAATGGTACCAAATCTACCTCCAGTTCTACAAAGATCCAGAAAGACACAATAAGTCCTGTTTTTTAGTCAGTTTTGGAATATTTAATTATCCATTTAGGACAATTAAAACAATCTGGTACTTTAACTCAGTCAGGTTCTTCTCTGAGCAGTGAATCATTCCGAAATAATGTGTCATCTCCCAGCCATGCCTACACATCAGCTGCTACAACTGTGCAGGAAAACAGGGAGAGGAGACCAAAAAACCCCATTAGAGCTTCCAGCTTAGCAAGCCTGGGCCACACAACTGTCATTTTATTCCTTTAGGCAAAGTTAAATTATAAAGACAAATTCAGGATGCACTTAGCACTACCTGTACACGCAGCAGAGCTCCCAGACACAATACTTACACACTGGCATGTGGCTTCTTTTTGGAGAAATCACAAGCCAGCCCAAGGTCTGATATCCTCACGTGCCCGTGTTCGTCCAACAAGATATTTGCAGGCTGTAAATCAGACACAGGAAGGTGATTGCTTGGAATCCTCCAACTGACAGAACCGCAAATTCTCAGAACACAGTAACTGAAACATCAATACTCTCAGGTAATTGGTAATTGCCTTTTATCTAACATCAATATACCAGACACTTTCTAGGTAAAATCTACATTCTAACAGAGCACTGCCATCAGCTCCACAGGCTATGAAATACTGAACAACAGAAGAGAAAAACCAGGCATGGTTTGAAACACAAAGCACGTAATAAATGAATAAATTTGTTTTGGCTTCAAGTCCTAGTTGCTTTTGGTTCTTTCACAGCTGGGTCTGTGTGTGGCTCTTACACCTTTTATTTGCCATCTCTGTGCAGACTTCTGTCCCCTTTTGTTGTCATCTGGCTCAGGGACACCTCTCTGGGAACTGTCCTCTACTTCCCAACTGTCCTCCTATTAGTCCCCCATTACACACACAGAGGCCTCTTTCAGGGCTCCCAAAAATACAGTGTATTCTCTAAATTATTCCTGTAACTTAGGAGGTGGGATAAGTAACACTGCACAGGATTTATTGGGATCCCAAGGAAGCCTCTCCCAGGCTGGTTAAACTGGATAATGGTATAGATTAGAAAGATTTTTAAAAGTTATTACAAAAATCAGGCAGATAAAAGAAATAATCCTCCCCAGAAAAGGCTTCAGGTGAGATAATCCATTGTTGTCAGTGTGCCTGGACTATTTGCTGCCTGTGTGATGCAGTCACTAACCATTACCTTCAGGTCTCTGTACACCACAAAGCGATTGTGCATGTGTTCTAAGCCCAGGATGATTTCAGTAGCATAAAACCTCATTTCTTTTTCAGAAAACACTCCATGCTGGGAGAGGTGGTAGTGCAAATCTCCTCCTAAAACGAGAAGAATGGAGATGCAATTAAATGAACAGTAAAATCTTGCCCCACCGGCAGTCAGGGTGATGCTGAGGGGGAACAGCACAGCATTTGTAGGTTCTTATCACCTGTGGAGCAGACAGACCCAGCCCTGCCCTCTGCAAGTCCTACAGTGACAGAATAGCTGAAAAAGTTAATAAATAAGTCTGACCTATCTGAAACTGCATTTTAAAAACACATTTACTTCATATACATTTGCATTCAGTGACTAATCCAGCAAGTTAAGTCTTTTTGCAAAGGATTTCCATGGCAAGTAAAAGGCACTAACACACACTGGTTTGTGGAGAACTGAATAGATCAGCACACAGAGCAGCCCAGGCCTGAGGGACCAAGCACCTCAGCAACCCTCCTGCCAAAATTTCTGTAACATCAGCAGCAGCAGCATGAGTCTTGCTTACCATTCATGAGGTCCAGAATGAAGCAGAGTTTGTCAGGGGTGTGGAAGGCATAGGTCATACACACTATAAAAGGACAGTCCTGGAAGGGAAGAGCAAAGAGGTCACCATGGACAATGAGCGAAGTGTGACTTAGAGAAGCTAAAAATACACATGACATTTTTCCTGCGGTATTTGCCAATATTCAGAAGTTCTATCCTCACCCAGACAGGAAATGCAGCTCCAGTGGTAACCCCTGTCCCTGGCTGAGGTCCCTTGCCCAGGTGACAGTGAAGGTGATCTGCCACCGCCACTGTCCTTGGCTCCCTGGCAGCATTTCCAGCTGAGGACTGAAGGGACATGAACACACCAGGCAGGAAGTTGGGACTCTGGAGCACGTGCAGTGCTGGGGAAGCAGCAACAGCAACATCCAGATTGTGCAAAGCCCACAACACAAGGCTGGTGGGTGCAGATTTGGGAAGTCACTGAAGAACAGCCAGGGACAGGGATGGATGACACCCCCACCTGTTGATGCACCTTAACCTCATTTCACCCGGTGTTCAAGACAAGCAGCCATAGAAATACAACTGGAAAATCACCTATTTATTCCAAAGGTCTGCTCAGCATGTGGGTACCTCCATAACGCACATGCATATAAAGCCACCATGGCAGCAGGTTGGCAGAGTTTCCTCTTCACTGTGCCTGTGCCGGATGCAAGTGGCTAATTCATAGAAATATGGAATTGTTTAGGTTGGAGAAGCCTCTAAAATCATTGAGTCCAACCATTCCCCCAGCACTGCAAGGCCAACACTAAACTACGTCCCCAAGTGCCACATCCACATGTCTGTTAATATCCCCAGGGATGGTGACCCCACCAATGCCCAGGGAAGCCCATTTCAGGACAATCCTTTCCATGAAGAATAGTCACTGCCCTGGCCCTGCTGGCCACACTACTGCTGGTACAAGCCAGGATGTTCTTGCCTAATTAACAGGGAGTGGCTATTACCTCATCAACCTCTTCAAAGCCATAAAAAACCAGAATCACAGAATCACAAAATGGTTTGGGTTGGAAGAGACCTTAAAGCTCATCTGTTTCCAACCACCTGCCATGGGCAGGGACACCTTCCACTAAAAGGACGTGGTATGAAGGGCTGTTTGGTGAGTCTGCAATGAACCCTTCAGGAATGGCCAGGCTGCCAGACCAGGCTGGGCTGCACCATCCCGTGTCCGACCCCAAAGCAACGAGGCCAACAGGAAGATGATCCAAGATGAGCTGAACTGTTGAGGAGCCAGGACACCCTGCAGGAAGCACAAGCATGACCTAACGTGACTTAAACAATGTGTTAAGCGCTGCAGTATTGATAGTGAAAGCTCTGGGAATCTCTAACAGGAACCGGTTTCCTTCCCAGTTTAGAAACAGCAAAACACGGTGGCCTTGGGCAGCGTGGGGGCCGCGGGCCCAGCTCGGGGCCGCCCTGGGGAGCAGGAAAGGAAGGGACAGCAGCATTGTCCCACTAGTCAACAGTTCAGTCAGTTTATCCTTCCACGAGGCTGAAATACAGAGCTCTATATGCTCGACTGCAAACCCAGAGATCCCCACAGTGCCTGGACACGTCCTGCCCTCCCACTCAAACCCAACTGTATGTTAATTTTAATTCTTCAAACACTAACCCCCTAACACCCCTCTGCAGAACTTACCCCTGCAGAAGGTAGGGATGTGTGTGAAACACCTGTAGAACATCCATTAAAAAAGGCCAGATTCACAAATGGATCTGAAAATAAGGAGCCTGTAGGCAAGGCAGTAGTATCTAACACAAGATACCACCTCTGGTTATGAACTCTGTATTGGGGATATTGTAGGTACCACTTAACTTCACAACAACAGCTTTAGTAGAGTTATTAACTTAATTTTCTGCATCAGCTGAGTAATTCAGAAGTGTCCCCAAGCAGGATTCCTAAAATCTCAGAGCAATCTAATTATCCAGAAGGATTTAGTGGCAGAATTTAACCACCATACATAGACAAATAAAAGGGTTTTACTACACCAGAACATAACATGCTTCTGTTTTAATGGATTTTAAAAATAAAAGTTATCTGGAAGTGTAAATGTGATGCATAACTCATTTTTATGCAAGCATTCCTAATTTAATCACTACCTTCTCCCTGTAACAGAGAGAAAAACTGTATGGCAATATTTTTCTGACATAAAAACCACTGCAAAAGAGTATTTTCCAGTATAAAAATTAAAAAAAAACCCTATAGTTATATTTTTTAATGACACATAAAGCAATAAATCCAATTTCCCAAGAGAGCAATACTTTGCTGCAGCCAAGTTTCTGCTCTGATGAAAATAAGTGACAGTATGACATTAATGTGTGAATTAAGATCAGTTTGGAAAGAGTTCCTTAAATCCAAACAATCCTGGATTGAGTCCAGAAAACTGCTTAAGTGAAATTTCTGGTAATAAATCATGTGGAAGGAAAAAAATATTACAATAACTATAAAAAAACTGTAGAAATGTGATATTTTAAAGACATTAGCACATTGACGAGTGCTCTAGAAGGAAACCTTTGGTTCTGACCCTTCCCTGAAAGACAAGCATCTGGCTCTGGAGCACAATATGACAGCAGAGAGGGGACAAAGGTGCTCAAAGCACAGAGAGCAGCTCTGTCCTGACACATCTCACTACTAAGAAAGATGTGCCAGTCACTGCTTGAAACTTGTGAAAACAAAAGTACCTGTTCCGCTCAGAAAAACCACATTATTGTTCTCAGATGGTTATTCCTCAACCTGCCCCTGCTCATGGTGGGATTCCTGGGGCGTTCTGAGAAGAGACAGGAGCTGGACTTGGATTATCCTCATCGGTCCCTTCCAGCTGAGGACATTCTAGGATTATATTTATCATTCCTTGGACAGAATCCTGAATCCAGGGCTGGATGAGGCAGCTGAACTGCCACGCTTTTTTAGAAGGAAAGAACTGGGAGCCACAGCCCTGCGCAACCCCTGGTCTTACTAAAAATAGCTGGAATGATCCCCTCCTACCCCCAGGAAAGGATTTATGGAATAACCATTTCCTTCCACAAAGAGCACCTTGGGGCTGGCTGGTTTCATATGGCCCATCAGCAGCAACAGTCTCGGTGATTTCCACGTTCCAGTTTTTGAAGAGAAATAGGCAAATATTGGCTATTACAGAAAATAAGTGTTGGGGTTTTTTTTTAACAGAAAACAATATCTTTTCCCTACTCTGCCACCAAGGATTTCACAATGCACTTCCAGCCTGAACATCTCTGTGGGAGGGGGAAGATGGGGCCTGTGTCTTGCAGAAGAGGAAACACAAACCTCAGCGACAGTTTGTCCACATTACACCCACAGTGACAAAGCACAGAAACCAACGGAGACCCGAGTTCCACAAAGCCCAGTTTGGGGTTATCAGGCCCATCCAGGCGGCTCTGGGGGGCTCTGCAGAGGTGCCTGTTGCACTTCTGAGTTCACCGGCCACGAAAAGCTGTTCTCACCACGCAGCCACAACAGTCTCCAACATGGGAGCTCCAGGACTGGTTGTGGATGCCAAAATTTTAGGTGGATTAACAGCACTGATTACACAACCAGATGTGTAATCGGCACAGCTGTTATTAAGCCTTTTGCAGAGACATCTGGGTTCCCAGTTAAATGACTAATTGTGCTGTGATGAACTTCCCAGTTCCATGGTGTTCCGGGCAGCACATAACTCCTGTCCCTGGGCACGGCACGCGCCACTCCAACCTCACAGCTCCCTTTCATGAATTAAAGGAATTCTCTTATTCCACAACTTTCAGACCTATTTAATTCTGCATATTCCAAGTGCTCCAACCATTCCTGCCCATGTGTACCCAACCTGAATGGGCAGCACTTCGTAAAAAATCTCTCTTCTAACTCTTTCAAATTTCTGAGAATCTAAAAGAAATTACACTCTAATGACCTTAAGGAAAGAAACCAGTGGGTCCTCTTGCTGCTCCACTGCTCAGTGCCTCCTGTGTGTTGGCCTGTAAGAAAACTGCCTCCACCTGCAGCAGCTTGTGAACTGTTCTCTTCCCATCACTAGACATGAAAATTCACATTCAGTGCTGGAGCCACAAAATCACAAATTAGAGTTAATGGGACAATTATTACTCATTTGCCTCAATTTCTTGTCCAGTCTCTACAATAGACCTTCTCCCCCATCTTTTAGGACTCCTGACACTCCTGGACAATCCACAATTGGTGGATTTCTGGTGAAAACAGGTAACTTGATTAAAAGTCTAACTGATAAATCATAGATCCCAGAAGGGTTTGGGTTGGAATGGACCTTAAAGATCATCCACCCCCTGCCATGGGCAAGGACACCTTTCACTAGAACAAGTTGCTCCAAGCCCTGTCAAACCTGGCCTTGAACACTTCCAGGGATGAAGCAACCACAGCTTCTCTGAGCAACCTGTGCCAGGCCTCACCACCCTCATAGGGGAGAATTCCTTCCTAATATTCCATCTAATCCTGCCTTCTGTCACTGCCAAGCCATTCTCCCTTGTCCTGTCACTCCAGGCCCTTGCCCAAAGTCCCTCCCAGTTCTCCTGAAGCCCCTTTAGGCACTGGAAGGGGCGTTGGGTTAGTGGTGACCTTGGCAGTGCTGGGATAACAGTTGGACTTGATGATCCTAAGGGTCTTTTCCACCTTTTATGATTCTCTAATCTCTGCAAGATACAGACCTGAGAATAAAGCCCAGGTTTTGCCATTTTGGAATCCAAGGCAGGAATACTCACATTCCAGGCACTTATGCTCTTTGCACACCTGTGGTACAAGCCTAGAACAAACCCCCACATAATTCTGTGTCCACAGGGAGTGGGGAAGTGTTTCCACAGAGCTGCACACTGAGTGTTTAGTTCATACACCACAGCATGAGGAAAAGGAACCTTTCCAGCAGCATCACCTGTAGCCATGGTGACACGAGCCAGCTGCCAGGTTTGTGCAATGAGGCCACAGCACTCCAAGGGCTCTGAGACCTCCAATCCCACCTAGAATTCCTCTGAGCCCAATAAACCACAGCCACCATGGAGCATCCGTAGGTCCCAGGGCTGGGGGAGCCAATGCCAGGGGGGAAGTGGCTTTTTACACACACTAGTGATAGGTTCAATTTTAAATAGACTTTTATTTTAATTAATTCCATTTTTAAAGAGATTAGATGGGCAGCCTGGCTTGGTAACCTTGATAGGTACTCAGCTAAAGTACATAAAAAAACAAAAGGAAAAGTTGGATAATATCAGAGTCACAGGCAAGGGAGGATGAACAGCTATCTGGAGCTGTCTCTGCAATAGCACCTTAGATTCTGCATCACTACTACAAAACTATAGGAAAAAAAGGCTTTTTTTTTTTTTTTTTACAAGACAGAAACTTGTTTTGGAAAAGTTTCAAATAGAAATACTCAAAAAAGGAATATTTAGAAAACCAAGAGGAGGGGAGAATGAATTACCTAAGAAATGGGCACCCCCTCAAGCCTCTGTAGCTGAGAGGCTCATCCTGCAGCACCCAAACTGACAAGCCAGTTTGGTTTTCCCTTCTCATTTCAGACACACTGTTAAAATCAGGGGGAGGCTCAGGTGGGGGTTAATGTTTGCATGTCACACAACTGAATTGATCGAATATGCATTATATGTAACAGCTTTTATATTATATGGAAGAAAGAATAACAAGTCAGTGATACTTACTCCTGTACTGACAAGAGACAGCATAATTCTTTCATTTAAGGCTAATGTTTCTCCTTGCTTCATCTTGATTCTCTTCTTATCTAAACATTTCATTGCATACCTGAAAATAACAACCATTCAGAAAAAGTACCACAAAACTCCTCTATCAGTATTATTCACTAGCAGTGAGGCCATGCACATCTATAGGATCCTGTAAGCAAGCTCTATAAAAGATTTAAAACCCAAGACTAAAATATCATTTCAGGCTAAACCCAAAGCCTCCAAACTCTCCCAGAATTAACACATTTCCAGCAGAAGCCTCCTAACAGAGAAATGTGCTTTAACAAGTAATTCTGTGTCCAAACCACCACAGTGGGATAGGAATTACATATCATACATTTATTTTTTAATACCTACAAACAAGGATGTGCCATAGGAATTAAATAACAGACTCTGTTATGGTTCCATTTCATTCCAACAGTTTCAGCTCTACCAGGAAAGCAATATCTTGAACACACGCTGAATTTTATATATATATTTTTTTTAAATTTTCTTTCTACTCAGAAAAAGGTCAGATACACACAAGAAAGCTTTTTTAATCTTCTACCATCTGTGCTACACAAATTAATAAAATTGTGCTCAAAAAGAATGTTACCCTAACAACCATCAACCACAGGAGGATATGATGTAGGCTGGAGATTTTTCCAAGACGTTGGGTGAGTCCACTAATAGACAACAGTGAGAAGGACACGTGTTCCTGCACAGAAGATTCCTAGACGTGGGCACCCGTGGATTTTGAGGAAAACACCATGTTACAGCATTGCACCAACCCTCAGCTCCTGCCTTGCTGTGCCAGCCCCACCCAGACCCAGGGCCTCACCTTGGCCCCAGCTCCCTAAACCAGCCACGTCATTCGTGCCATGCACGTGTTGGGAGTGAGGGGAGTGAGAGTGAACACACTGGAACTGTGAGTTTCCAAACTGGGAATATATTCATGGCACGTGCTCTTGCTGAGGAGGCTGTGAAGGGTGACTATAAATAACCCCTGACACGCTGCCCTGCCCTGCTCTGATGTCCCTGATCAGAGAGTGACTCAAGACTGATAGAAATCATGGAATCCCAGAATGGTTTGGGTTGGGAGGGACCTTAAAACTCATCCAGTGTCACCCCCTGCCACAGGCAGGATCACCTTCCACTAGACCAGGTTGCTCCAAGCCCTGTCCAAGCTGGCCTTGGACACTTCTAGGGATGGGCAGCAACAACTTCTCTATTCCAAATCAAGCCTCTTGCTGGTCCTGCTGTCCCTTCCCCTGGAATGCTGGCTGCATCCTACTTCTGACCCCTCTTTGGACATCCTTGAAGGGGTGATGGTGACATGACAGGAGCCTCAGGCATGTCTGTGGTTAGTGGAACACTGCTGGTGTTACCTGGGAGGGAGGGGTGGTTCCCACGCTCCTTTCAGGCAGTAAGTGCAGCAGAGGCAGCATCTACAGTGGACAGGATCTGGACGGGATGGGTAAACAGGTTTGGATTAAGAAAGAACTAAACCAAACCTCTACCCAGAGGCTGAACCTAATCTAAATTTTTGCTTCAAATTTGAAAAAAAACATTGGTTTTCCCACATTTCCCTCTTACTCTGTTTGTATCTGATAAAACCTGTCCTTTGCTTCACCCTTCCTGTCCTTTTCACTTCCCAAGGTTTATCCATCTCCTGCCAGAGCCAAACTCAGACATGAAGATGGCTGGGACTCTGAAAACTGCCTCTTTGGGGATGCCTGCTTAATGTGCCTCAAGCTAAATAAAATGTTTATTTTTGTACATGGACAAAAAAGCACCAAGGCAAGAATAAAGCCAGTGTTGTTAGTAAGAGTATCAATATAATACTTGAAGTCACTGCAAAAATACTAAGTATGACAGCAACATTAAGATGTCTCCCACTTGTTACAGCTCAGAGGTTTATTATTATCAGGAGTGCCAAGCACACACAACTGCCAGAGAAGCCAGCTGAAACCAGAGACTTTGCACCTCAAACATGCCATGCTCTTTTGGAAAAGAAATGTTTCAGGATGGTCCCTGGACTAAAACTGTTAGGAGAAAAACAAGATGAAAGGGGTAGGATGGGGTATAAATAAATAATTGATAAATATTGAGAACAATTTGTTAAATCCATGTCCAGATGTTCAAATCAGAACACATGGGACAAGGATGCCTAGAAATTGAAATCTGACAATCAGAAGAATGGTAAGACCACAAAAAGAATAGAAAAACCATCCAGGGTTGATCTTGGAGTTCCCACAGAGAGCTCTGTGAAACACAAATTCAACACTGGAACTATATGCTTCCAAATGTCAGCAAGGATCACTGCTTTCACCATACGTCAGGGCAGACACTGATGCAATTCCCCAAATCTGGAATATCACACTTGGAATCGGCCCTGGCACAACCCACTTTGCCCAGCACCGAGGGTGGGTCCCTGTAGCCCCTCCAGCCCCACATCAGCACCAGGGATGTGAGAGGCTGAACCTTCCACAGGTGACACCTGACCCCCCCACACGGTTTCCTGGGAACATCCCTCTGCACTGCCAGCCTCTGATCCAGGGAATTCTTTAAGCACACGCTTAACTGTAACACACACAGTTCCCATTGATTTTGACAGGACATTTCAGAGCAGGATGTGCCCAAGGGCTCTGGGAGACTGACCCACTGCATGGCACAGAATGGGACCAAAGAGCAAACTGAGCCTAGAGATGAGGCAGAAATCAGAACCTCTTGGGATAAAACTTACATGACGCTGCTTTCCAGTGATTTCCTAAGAAATGACTGGAAGGATTTCCTTACTAGTTCAGAGTTTACAGTTACCTCTGCAATACAGTGTGTGATACTCACATTTTTCCAGTGTCTGCTTTTCTGCAGCCGTACACTTCGCCAAAACCCCCTCTTCCTATTATTCTATGTACACTAAAATCATTCATGGTCAGCTGCAAGTAGAAAAAAAAAAACCACAACAGAACAAAACCTTCATTTTTCAGCATTAAAAAACTTACTGTAAAAACATCTAAATGTGTTGAGACACTCAACTACTGTAATTCATCAGCATTTATTGTGTCGGAAAACGAGCCTCTTTTTGTTTATGTTTCAATGTATTTGCAAGCATTACAGTGTGAAGCAGGAGCAAGGGGAATGAAGCTGTTGTTCCCCAAAAACTGCCAGTCTCGTTCAGGGCTATTTCTGCAGCCCAAGCTGTCACGGAGCAGTGCAGAGGGACAAAGGCAGAGGCCAAGGGAAGGGGTCCAAAGGGTGCTGGGGCCACGGCAGGACTGCCGTGGGAGAGGGAGTTGGAGAGTGGCTGAGGCTGCTAAAGAGCAGAAGTTCTGGCAGTTCACCTCCTTCAGCCATTATAGAAATCCAGATTCTATTAAGTGAGGACAGGCAAAAGGGATGTCCAGACAGGAACCGTCAAGGCTGTGTCTAAGAATAGCAGAGCAGTGACATCCACCGCCCTCCTTAATGAGGCCTTTGCAGAGCAGGATTCAAAACTGAACATTCTCTTTCCTGTACCAGCCTTTGACAAGATAAATATACTTGTAAGTACTTACATGAATATTTAGCTCTACGTTTTTCCATTGACAAAATCTAGTAAACTTGTCACTGTAAAAAAAGAAAAAAAAAGTTTAGAAGTTGTCTGAGACTATTGTGTAAAGTATTACAGGAAATGTCAAGACTCTGATATTTAAAATCTAGTCTGAGCTAGGGCGTGGGGTGGTATTTAATAAATGACAGCCTTCCTTTCACCAACTGTAATCTTACCCCTACCAAGAAAAACAATTCCTAGGCAGAGCACACTTTGTATTTTACATCCTTGTAGGAGAAAGAGAGCAGATAACCTTATCTCTGTAAGTGCTCGGTGTGTCCCCACATCTCTCTTGCAGATGTTTTCTAATTTTTCAACAACTACGTTTGGAACTAACAAACATTGAAATTACATCAAGAGAAAGATAATTATAAGAAAACAGAGGCAGCTCGATTTATGTTAATGAGCTTCCATATACTCCAAGGAACATTTTAAACTCATTTTATCTTAAAATAGGAAAAACATCAGTAATACCACAGGCTTTTGGAAAAAAAAAAAAGAAGCTGATTATTTCTACATGAATAATTAAGTATTTATTTTCAGAGTAAGGAATAACAGTTTCATGGAGGCATTTTTACAATTATCACAGAATAGCACCAAATCAGTTTATAGAGTGGATTTGGGTGTTGCTGGGTGAGAGCTGAGCTTTCCAGACCGTGCCCACAGGAGCAGCTCTGTTTAGGTTAGAAGGGCTGCTCTGCTGAGCCAGGTCCGTTGCCTTGAATTCTGTATTACACTTTTTCTGCTTAATTTCAGGTTCCCAGTCATAAACCACAACAACTGTGCCTCCAATCCCACACCAGAGACGGTCACTCATAGAATGTCCCCCAAGAACCCAGTTCTGCCTTTTTAAACCTTTGAGCCCCAACTCCAACCTGTTATTGCTGTTACTGAGAAAAGCATCACCTTTTGCAACTGTTCCACTCATACATCCTGACGTTAATCAGGATATCCCACAAAGCTGGTTATCTGCAAAGTTTGCTGATAAACTCCACTTGATTAAACAGGGCATTATTACACATCTCTGGCCTGATTTTACAGCAGTAGTGAAGGGATGTGGCTTCCTACTACATGGGGCAATATGATGACAGTTCAGGTAATACGTCATATTCGTACCTTTCCATAAATTTTTGAAATATTTTTCCTCGGAGACTATCACAAATTTCTTCTATATATGGCTAAAAAGGGTGAAGAAACACAATTAGTATTTAAGCAGACAATAAATGGCTTTTGCAATCCCATCCATCACAGGGAACTCTCATTAGCCTCACACAGCACATCCTGTGTTTTCCTTAAGAAGCCTCAATGAAACATTTAAGCTTTATTTGACTTCTGGAATCTGAGCAGGTGCCCTGAAGTCAAAAATAAAATATCTTCATGAGCTAGAAAACCTTAAAGGTTTACCTTGGGAGAGGGGCAGGGGGGGAAAAGTTCTTCTCTCAAATGTATTTAAAGAGTAAATTGTCAGCCCTGTTGAAACCACACTTCCCACAGCTGCTCTCTCATCTTTGTGGTGCTTCTCTCCTCTCTGTCCTTGATAAGGGACCAGTACCTTCAATTCACAAGTGACTTTTCCTAGGGAAATCCCTTCCCTGGGTGTGGGATAGCCCCAGGCAACCTCTACCTCCTCCCACCTAATGCTGAGAAATCACCCAGCACTGCAGGTACAAGTTTGTCATTTCTCCTCATTGCAACAGCCAGAGCAGCTCATGAGCAGCAGGAGAGATCAGGTAGGGGCAACCTCCACATTTTTGCAACACAGGAAAATACATCAGATTCAGAGAAAAGACATTTAAACTTACAAACACCCCCATGACTGATAAGAAAATTTTTCCAGTTTAATCTATCCTGACAGGATGAGCATTTTCCTGATGTAAAGTGATTTACTCTAAATCATTTAATGGCTTAAAATTACAGAACTATAAAAACTCCTCTGTTCCTATACCAAGGTATAGCTCACTTTCATAAATGTGCTCAAAAATATTATAGATAAAAGAGTAATTTGTAATTTTGACTTAGAAAAGCATTTCAATCCCACTAGTACAGCACAGAATACGTAACCAATCCCATTTATTCTGTCTCCTAAAATAATACATACAAAGTCACTTACTGTCAGAGAACTGAAGCTGAACATTCACACTGTGAAAGCTCACCTGAAAAAGGCTGGCTGGCACTTGTTTCTTGGCTAAATGTGTTTGTACATGATCTACAGCTTGTTTTGAGAAAGGCTTTTGGAAGAGAAAAAGAAAGATTTCAAACAGTTGGAGATGTCAGGAATTTCATTTCAGGTCACAGCACTGTTGTTCTTTTCCTCATATGGAAAAACACCGACCCCAGAATGAAACAATACGGCCTTCCCCCAGGTATATTACAGTCAATATTGGTGTGAAACATGCAGAATGATCCAGTAATATGATTATTCTAAAGCAGGAAGGCAGGAGAAGAGAAGATGAGGGGGAGGGCGAGATGATGCTCCTTTTAGAAAGCCATGAAAAATCCCATTTACAGGGACAGCTCCAGAGCTAGAAGCAGACATGGACTTTTTACTAATAAAATAACATATTTTTGATGAAAAAAATGCTTAAACTGTTCACCCAAGGAACCAATCCACCAGGGCAAATCCTTCTTTGTAATAAGAGCAAATGAAACTGTTAAAAACACATTAATGGGCCAAAACTTCATCTGGAGGAAATGTGTATTTTCAGTGACTTTAACCAAGCTGCATCTGCCACAACATGGCACATCTGTACATACACACACACAGCACTCATCTAATCTTATTTTAAAATAGAGATTTACTTTGAAGAAATATAAACCAGATAAATCTCCTGATACTTCCTTTGTGTACCACTAATAAACAGTTTAATAAAAATGGGCCCATCCCACCAGTCTTTACACCTCAGTACTGCAATTAAAAAAATAAAAGCAACAGGCTGAACTCAGCCAAAGCCAGAGCCGGGATTTCAAACAGAAATCCAGAGCTCTGCAAGTATTTGTAACGATTCCTTCAGCAACACTGTGAGTGAAACAGCAGATTTGTTGCATGACCCTTGCAGCCAGGGTACCCTGGGCAGGGGGAATTGGGAGGATACACACGTGGGAACAGGATAGCAGCTCCTTCATGATGTAGGTGTCGTAGATCTGCCGGCTGCGGCACAGCCGCTCCTCCTCTGAGTCCAGCTTCTCGTACTCCTTGATCTGCAGAAAGGGGACAGGGAGCATCAGACAACTTCCAATGATTTTGCACTTACTTGGGGGAAAAAAAAAAAAAAAAGCTTTATTTTGCTTCATTATTTTCTGAATTAACACTTAAAGGAAAACCAGCTGCAACACCACAGTTACAGCTGACCCGAGACTTCCCTTCTAGCCTGGAATTTTCCAGCCCTGGCACAGCTGCCCAGGGAATGGTGGAGTCACCACCTCTGGAGGGATTTAACAGACATGTGCATGTGGCACTTGGGGGACACGGTCAGTGGTGGCCTTAGCAGTGCTAAGGGAACAGCTGGACCCAATGGTCTGAGAAGGCTTTTCTAACCCAAAAAATTCCCTGATTCTATGATTACAGCATGGTGAGTACAGATGTCCAAGAATGAATATAAAGCACATTTCAAAATGTTCACATAGTTCAGCTACACGCTGAATTTGAACCTAAATTCACAAAACATATCAAGTTTCCTCAGGTCTGCTGTAGGAGATCAGTGTGTTCCAGGTGAAACAACAGAAATCCCACATGGTTCATTTACAGAACAAAACCTGGCAACCAGTTCCAGAACAAAAAGTTCACCAAGTCCAAGAGCCCTTTGGAGCATATTTAGGAAAAGAGTTCTTCCAGGACTGACAGAACATAAGAACCATGCAAGATCTTTAGGGACAGGACCCACCTCTGACTTGCTGGGCATTCCCAGCGTCAGCCTCTGAGGTCCTGGGATCCAAACAAATGTGCAGATTTGCTCCACACCACGGAATCCCAGAAACACTTAGGTTGGAAAAGACCTCCAAGACCATCAAGTACACTTAATGAGAGACAAACTGGGACCAACCTACCTCTGAAGGTGGAACATTAATTAAACTCAGTATCTTTCTGGCCATACTCCTCTTGTTTGCTGATACGATAAGGCCCCAGTTCCACCTCGATTTGCCATCTGTGCTTCTTCCCCCTTGATACCAACTTATAATTAAAGTGTTTCAAAATGTCTTTGCTCAAGAAACACTTTTAATTAATGCAACGACACAAAATAATTAGAAGTCCAGGAGGAAGCCTGATCTGTATCTGATTGTCTTCCTTGAACAGAAGCTCCTGCCCCTCAGTATTTGGTTGTTAAAGCTCTCAACTCTGCACCTGGCGCTGAGGGGTCTCACAGCAGCCACCCCAGCCATGCTGGGCCCAGCCAGCATCTCCCACCTTCCCCTACACTGGGATTATTAATGAAGAAACCCTTTGTTTTGTAAAGGTTTGGAGAGCAGGACAGCAGGTAACAAACGTCCTCACTGGTGGTCTCTCTTCCTGGCTGGGAGAATGTCCCCCCCACAGGCTGCCTGACACAGCTCATCACACAGGTGATGAGATCAGACACCTCTCTGTGATTACACCCAACACAGCCCTGACATCATCACGAGCGAATTTTACATGTTCATTAAAGACAATATCACTGTACCGTGCCAAAAAAAAACACAGAAGGAAGAGCTGAGAGTGTCCCATTTCTAACACACCCTGTCCCTGCCAGCACTCCACTCCTGACCCCAAGAGAAGGGAATGTCATCAGCTACCCGATGCTCCCCTGGCAACTTGCAGCTCCCTTCTGGAAAAGGGGCTGACAAAGGATCTCCTCAAAAATTGGAATCAGAATTCATTTGTTTTCAAGCACCTAGAAAAATTTCTTTTTTTTTTCTTTTTCTTTTTCCCCCCTTTTTTACCAAATTCCTTTTCTTTTCTTTTTGAAACTGATCAGGATGAATCACTCATCCCGTTAAATGCCTGATCGTGACTCCAGCTGCAGTGATATGAAATCCCTGGAGTGCAGAGCTCTTCTACATCCAGCAATTTTTAATGTAGCAATGCACTCAAATTATTCTACATGTAATAAATGCAGCAAGTAAATCAAATATGTAAAAAAAGGAAAAGCTCCTGGATCCGGTATGTCACAGAGGAAAACACAATGAGCCTCTCTTTAAATATCCTTAATGGGATTTTTCCAGAAGTACATGACAAAGCACTGAAATTCTTTTGAGGCAACACTTTGCTAATAACCTAAAAATACAATTTTGAATTGTTTCAGAGATAAAGAGGGATCTAAAAATATCTTGCTAAACAATCTGGTACAACAGGCCTTTTTGGATTACTTATGACAGTGATATCGTCAGTGCATAAAAAGATGGAAATGACAGGAAAAGATCCATTATTGACAGCAGGTATCTGATCTGAGGGGGGGACAGTGTATCACTGAGGACTGATCCCCAAACCAATCCCAGCCATTTATGCTCATAGCCTACTGGCACAAAAACATTTAAATTATCAGCTCAGAGTGAGGCAGACAGAGCTATCCCAGGGAGCAGCTCTAATTAACCCTGAGCAATCAGGCATGTGCATGTCTGCACTGAAACCAGCACCTGGGAGAGGATTAACTGTGGGCTTATAGTGTCACAAATGGAACAGAGAGTGAATGAATGGAGGGATGGGGCTCAGGCTGTGCAGCAGGGGTGGCTGGGGGAAGGACATGGCATGTTCCTTGGAATTACTGGTCCTTTGGGATGTGCCCTGGGCTTGGTGCCTGTCAGCTCCTTCACTGAGTAGCTCATGACAAGGGAGTACAATTCATGGATCTAAAGCCACCTCTTGTGTCCCCGTCAGAGGATCCTCTTACCTCTGTGCAGCTCTGCCACAGCAACTCCCAAAACATCTCACAGAATCACAGGATATGCGGAGTTGGAAGGGACCCACAAGGATCATCCTGGCCCTGCACAGGACCTTCCCCAAGAGTATCATCCAAATGCTCCTGGAACTCTGTCAGGCTTGGTGCTGTAACCACTTCCCTGAGGAGCCTGTTCCAGCAGCAGCTTCCATCCTACCTTCCTCCCACCATGCCATGACACCCCAGATGCACTCTGCTGGCTTTTCTACAGGTAAAAGGATGTTAGGAAAAGGTCTGAAGGGTTTGAGAGTGTCATCCCAACTCCGGCAACTCTCACAGCGCCTTTCCTACCAGCCCATGCAGCTGCTCAAAAATAAAATGGGCAAAACCCATCTATGCTACTTGAAATACTCTCTAAGAGTCCTATACCAAATTAGCAGGTTGATTAAATATTCACACTGCTACACATGGACCCCCTTCTTCCCTCTCAGCCATTCCCTGCCCGAGGAGGAGCAGCACAGCCTTCCTCAGCCTTGCTCCCTGCAGAGCCCCAAACCTCCCTCACTGGCCACTTACCTCTTCATAAAACTTCAGCTGGGGGACAGCTTCATCGATCTCATTCATGCAATAGTCTTTAAAGAGCAAAAATCCTGGAAAGAAAAACAGAAAAATCAGAAAAAAAACCATCTCATTACGATGATGACTTGTAAAAAGGCACACAGAACCACCCAGGTACCATCAGGGGCTGTAAATACCTGTGTGAGCATCCCCACTTGCCAATGTTTAGGATGCTGATTACCAGGCAGCTCTTCATTCTCAGCACAAAGGGATCCCAAGCCTCCCTCACCTCCCACAGGTGTATTAAGCCCATTCCCACTCCTACGTGCTGAGGATTTTATGAGGCACTTCCATAATGCACCAAAATATCCCATTCCTCTTCACAGACCACATTTTCTTCCTTTTTTTTCCACACTGAAAACAAGACACTATTCATTTTTGGGGTTTTCTGCAATAGATTTACCTACATTTTATTGATAAAGTACAGCCTCTTTTGCATTCCCATTTCAGAATTACTGGTTCATGTTACCTCTAATGGGCTTTTATTGCACAATAAATTACACCAGGGTCTTTACAATTCCTTTGCAAGTAATTTAGAGCCTGACCCCAGCACCCAGATGATGAGGATCTTCCATTATGAGCATTTTAATGCAGTCACAAGCTTCATCCCATGGAAGCACCGTCTTTCCATGCCCCTGAGCTGGCACCTGCTACCCTGGTACTTCACACAGGGTTCTGTGTCACAGGGGTGGGCTGAGAACTGGATGAAGTCACAAATGTTCCCATCACTGCCCCTCCACTGAGCACACCCCTCCCTGCCAGCCTGCGTGGCATGGACCTGGTTTTGAGGACAAAACGTGCCACTTAGGGACCTGAAACAAATTCCTTATTTCACACATGATGGAACCGGCGGCGGCATGGAGCGGAATCCTGCTGAATGGACTGAACTCTCCTTGGACAATGAACCAAAGAAGATTGCAGCCGGGTAATTAAGAGACTGAAGAGTGGCACAAACAGCGCTGAATGCACTGAAAGAAAAATCCCTGGCGTGGTCCCAGCTCCTGGCTGGGGACCAAAAAAACCCACAAACAACAAAAAAACACAACAACAAACCACAAAGACAACTGTGGGAGGAGTGTGAAAATATACCAACACACATTTCCAACAATGCCACGCCAAACATTCCAGCCCTGCTTAGTATTTTCCAAACTTTTTTAATTTAATTACGGCAGAGAAAGAAAAGGTTCCCAATCCCAGGGCACAGGGAACAATTGGAGGCTTATGCTGCCGTGGGATACAGTCTGCTCCTCCCCGGGGCCCTTTGGCACTGCAGTGCCATGTAAAAAAAACAGATATTCCCAAAATTTACAGGCTGAGAGAACTGGGAATGTTCAGCCTGGAGAAGAGAAGGATGTGAGGAGATGTCACAGCACCTTTCAGTATCAGAAGGGGCCTATGAGGAAGTTGGACAGGGACTCTGCATCAGGAACTAGAGTGACAGGACAAGGTTTCAGACCAAAAGGGGGGAAATTTAGGTGAGATATGAGGAAGAAATTCTTGCCTGTGAGGGTGGTGAGGCCCTGGTACAGCTTGCCCAGAGAAGCTGTGGCTGCCCCATCCTTGGAAGTGTTCAAGGCCAGGTTGGACAGGGCTTGGAGCAACCTGATCTAGCAGAAGGTGTCCCTTTCCATGGCAGAGGGTTGGGCTAAATGAGCTTTCAGGTCCCTTCCCACCCAAACCATTCTATGATTCAAACAAATCCGATTAGAGCTTAATGTTCTCCAGACTGGAATTGTTTCTGTTTCGACCTCCCATTCTGTCAACAGATCCTGCACTTCCCCGGCAGCACAAAGGAAATCTCCTTTACTGCTGCTCTTGGATTGAGTGAAAAATGATCAGCCAGAAACTGCAGCTCTCAGATAATGGCAAAACGAAGTGACAGATGCAGCATTGAGTAAGTGACAGGAGTTTTAAGAAGTTCAGGGAGAACTGACGAAGAGCACAATAAGCACAGTTAACGACACACAGAAAAATAAGCCCAGGAACAGAAAGCAGGAATTAATAAAATGATAGCGTTAAGTAACAGCTAAAAAGAACCAGCAATTATTTATGAAATAAAGATGCTGACAGCTTTGGCTTTAAAGATTCCTTCTGCTATAACTATATAATTTCTGCAACAGCCAGATCACTGGTTGTTAAGGGAAAAGAAAAATATTTTTTCAAAGCTTTTTCTGGTAACACCAAAGTGATGGATGATATCAATAATATACACACAGTGCGAAGCAGCACCCAGCTCCCAGACTCCTCCTTCCCAGCCTCTGGACAATAATTTTCCCCATTATCTTTGTATGGACAATCTTAGGCTAAATTTGCCAAATGCCATGAATTGCATTGAGACTAATTAACAGGCAAAATGTCTTTCAAGGAGGGGTAAAGGCCACTCTTGAGGTTTGCAGCTCAGTCTTCAGAGGATGCTCACAGGCAGGTAACCAAGTATTCCCAGAGCTCATCACCAACTGGATGAGATCCTTTTCACAAGCTTATTTAAAGCCATCTGTTTGCTAGCAGAGCCTTTTAAAAAAATAAATAAAATCCCCAATGTAGAGCCCTTCTCTTACAGTTTTAATAAAGAAACACTGCCCATTCAGAGAATCCCAGAATTGTTGGAGTTGGAAGGGACCTCTGGAGATCATCCAGTCCAACCCCCCTGCCAAGGCAGGATCACCTGGAGCAGGTGACACAGGGACATGTCCAGATGGGTTTGGAATGTCTCCACAGAGGAGACCCCACAGCCTCTCTGGGCAGCTGTTCCAGAGCTCTGCCACCCTCCAGGGAAAGAAGTTCTTCCTCAGGTTAGGGTGGAACTTCTTGTTTTACTTTATGGCCATTGCTCCTTGTCCTGTCACTGGGCACCACTGAACAGAGTCTGGCACCATCCTCACACCCCTTGGAGATATTTGTGTGGATTGATGAGATCCCCTCTCAGTCTCCTCCAGACTAACCAGTCCCAGCTCCCACAGTCTCTCCTCATAAGGGAGATGCTCCAGACTCCAAATCATTTTTTTGTCTCCACACTCTCTAGCAGCTCCTTGTCTTTCTTAAACTGTGGAGACCAGAACTGAATCCAACACTCCGGATGTGGCCTCACCAGAGCCACTGGCTGGGATTAAAGTCACCTTCTCAATTCACAGTTCTTTGGCATTTTCCTGCCCTGCTCCCAGTGCCATGGCAGCAGGATTGCCTGGTCAGCAGGATGGGCAGGTGTGGTGCCGCTGCCAGCTGGGAATGGCTCTGCCAACATCCCCCAGGACAGCAGCCAGGAGGGCCCGCACTGCCTCTGCCTCCTCCAGCAGTCCAAAGGTCGCCTGCAGCCACAGCACCACCTCTCCATCTCCACCAGAATGCCAATTAGCTGACAGCATGGAATAATAAATAAAATAAAATAATAATAATGAGGAACTCCATCATAAAACACTTGGAGAAAATTACTTATCTGGTTCGAACTGGAATTTTATGAGTATTCGATTCAAATAACCTGTTAACAGGAGTAAATAAAAATCTTATTAAAGCAAACACGACTGACTAGGTGAGAGAGCGGAGCTAAAAATAGCCACATTTAGCCCCAATACAAGTGTTCACAATGTCACTGATTGAAAGGAAGCTGCATCTATTTACAGCAGGCCTGAACGTGGTCCAAAATGCTGATGTAGACTCTTTCTAGTAGGCAAAATAGCAAATTAGAGAACAAAAATACCAAGCTGTTTCCAAATCCTAACGAAACGTGCTGTGTATAAATACAGAATCATGACAAACAAAGAAGTAGTGACATCTGCACCAGAGACGGGCTCGTTTCCCGGCACTGCAGCCAAAGGCTCCGGCTCCAGGCAGGAAAACTTTCAGCACAAGCCTATCAGGAATGTGGCTGGTGCTCTGCAAAGTGTGAAATACAGAGTTGGTCCCTACTCCAGGCACTTAAAGGTCTCTGACCCAAGTCCCTCAAAGACCTCTCCTGATCTTACAGGGCTGGAGTAACAGACCTGTCAGCACCAGTAACAGGTCTGGGTCATAGACACAAACATTAGGGGTAGAGGTCTACTATTAAACCATGTGAAAACTGTAAATCCAGCCAGGCTGCAGCTGTCACAGAACACCCAGTCAAGTTCAGATCCTGCTCTGCACTGAACACATACTCAGCTGCCACAGCACAGGGTTATTAACACCACCTAAGTGCTCCAGAATAGAGAGAACCATCAATTTCCTTCTTCAGGAGCAAAGAGACTTGCTATTACTAGGGAAAACTGCATTGGAATCGTGCTTTGGCAAGGACCAAAGCCACAAAAATCCTCACAGCCCAGAAGGCACCACAGATTCCACTACTTTTCTTTCCCTAATCTATTCTTTGCTAATAGAGCCTGATGTTCATTCCCTTTACATTAAAAATAATACACCATAACAGACTGAAACATATTCCTGTGCATACAAAGCAGGATAGAAGAACAAACTGTATTTCATGAGAGGATGTGCATCCAATGGTGAGGAGCACAGAACAATTTCCCCAGAACAGAATCAAACTGAGCTCAAAATTAGTCTGCAAGTTGCCAGGTAGCTTGTTTAATGACGTCTAGAAATCATTATATGAAAATAAGCTTTGGCTAAAAGATTTTAAGTGTTGTCAAAGAAAACCCTTATTTCCAGCATATTTCCCAATAGCTTTTCACCCAGGGAAATCATTAACACTTGTTCAAGCTTGGGCAGCCCTCTTGCCATATTGCCAGACCTGTGAACGCCTTAAAGTCCTGCAGGGAGAGGAGCAGGAGAGCTGAACTGCTCCTCCAGCATGGATGCTGGGGACACAGTGGAGGAGTATCCACAAATTCTGTGTCAAACCTCAAAGGCCTGATTGAACACACAGATTCCAGTTAACTGAAGTCGAGTATCAAAGGCATTCAACACACCAAAGGTGAAAGAAAAATTAGGGTTGTATATAAGAAAAAGACTGTCTAATAGCACTAAACAAAGGTGTATAAAAACATTCTAACTTTTAAGGACCATCAAACACAGAACTAAAGCATTTCATTTCAATCAATCAGTT